GCCGCCACCTTCGTTGCTTTGGAGATCGTGTCGGTGTTTCTTTCGTTGATTTTAGATAGCACGATCCCGCTCCTTCATCAAATAAATCTTTCAAGATAATATTCGAAAGCTTTATAACTAATATAAGCTCATACCTTCGATAAGCGTTTATTATGAATGAGACAGTTTGTGTCCGTCTTGTGGATAACTGCATGGACTAGTGACCAGACCATTTAGACATTAACTCGCGCAATATTGTGGAAAGCTCTTCCTGGAATGTATTACAGTGGTGAAGACTTTGTAAATTGAACAGATGCATTATACCTATTGTTATAAAAAAATATATATTTTTTGTAACATACCTTCGAATTAAAATTTTGCACCGCAATGTTACTCCTAATTTCCATTTTTATAAATACGTTTTAACCGATGTTGGGTAAAAGTATTTATGTGGTCATTATGAACTACTTATTAAAATAATTACCAAATTAAAATATTTCTGTCAATTAATTGAATTAAAAGACAACAATGCAAATTTAGCTTTAAATTAGCGTTAACTTATTTCATGACAACCAAGTATATTACACATAACTTAATTGCAGCGAATGCACCTAAACGAACAATGCGGTCGTTTTAATTACTTAATTGTATAAAGTAGGTATGTCTTTAATTAATTAACTTCGCCTTCATAACTAAGAACCGATAATAGGAATCACGCGCAAAAACGTAGTTTACGTAAATTACAACGTTCAAAAGTACATAAAGTGAAGTAACAGCCTATAAAATTATTATGTTCCACAGCTGGGCAAAAGTTTCTGTACAAAGAGTATTAGAGCATTGTCCACCACATACCCCACCGCAGATTGGCAGACTTCACATATCTTCCAAATGTTTTTTATAACAATTTGGATAATATGCAGGTTACTTCGCAGCAGAGCACTTAACAAGGACATAAATAATATTAATTTAATGAACCATATTTTAAATGTCTCACTTGTAGTTAACATTTATCCTGAATATAATAGCAAATTAACTAAGGTATATTGCGAGATTAACTACTTCCGATAAAAGGTATTGTTTGATTGAGAAATTTCTGTTTTTATTATTAACAATCATCGTATGTCTTTGTTCCTCAAGGATTGTTGCTTTAATGAAGTCTTTTGGTAATTAATTATAACAGTTATATAAGTAAAAAAAAACCAATTCAACGCCAATGCAGCATTTCGAACAATGTCCCAGAGAGTAGCAAAAACCTCGGCCCAAACGGACAGCTTATTGCGAAGCTGGTTTGGCAGGTCGCAAGGTTTTTACAATGGTCGGAGCAATTAGTCGCGAATGAGTTGCCAAACTATTATTCGACTGAAAATTAGTTAAATCGTTGATGTGTTACCATTACTTCTACACAAAATCTGCGGTTTGCCTTCTTCGCTTGTTACGACGTAGTAAAGAGAAGCGTGTAGAAACTTCATTTAGTAACACGCGCGATGTTAAAGGAAAGAAAACTGTATTTTTCATTCCCGATACTAAAACCTTATGTAGAAACAATCCACTGTTATATATGGATTTTACATAACGCAGCAACTGTTACTTATGAAGAATCAGATGTAGTCTCAATAAAGATTCTAAACATTTAGAAACAAAACAAAACAATTTAGTGCAAAATAAAGTTAACAAAATCAATAAACACGTTAATTGTTAAACTAATTGATCGTTGCATTGAAGCAAACGAATTACCACTTGCAATACGGCTTGTTGAAATCAAAACGCTCATTCCTCATACGAATCGTCTCCGTTCATGACGTCTAACTATATGCTCTGACGCACTCACTTAACGAACTCGTTAAGTAGTCAGCGCCTAGCCTAGATTTGGCTCAATTAATAGCTCATATTTTTGCTGGATGCAGGCACAGGCCACAAAGCTGTTTAACGGCGTGTATGCATCGCTTGTTGACACGTCTCCTCTATTTGGAGCATTAACTGCAAGATGTAGATCGACGAAATACGTACTGCGGAAAACATTCGATCTTTTATAGAGGATCTCATAAGGATCTAAGCCCTTATGAGAGTTGGACTGAAGATTCTTTTTTTAATTTTAAATAATTGTAGATAATCGATAAACTAGAAGGGTTATAAAAAGGCTTTTTTTTATGAGAATAGTTGTCAAACGAGCAGACGGTTCACCTGATGTTAAGTGAATACCGCCGCCCATGGACATCTGCCACACCCGAGGGTTACAGATGCGTTGACAACCTTTTGAAAATTGTGCTCCGGCTACCTCACTCACCAGACGAAACGCGAAAGTATTTGTCATACTTTCACTTTAAATAGGTTTTCTGTGAGGTCGTGGTACTTACCCGGACGGGCTTGCCCATTCGTGCAACAGCCGAGGCTGCTGCGTGGCTCTACCACCGTTGAATAGTTGACCGTTGAGTACTCACCTTGGATATTATTTTTTATGGAAAATGAGACAAACGAAGTCGACTGATGGTAAGAAGATGCCACTTTGGTTTCAGGGCTATCGATATTGGTCTCATGGATGTTTTTGTGATCTTCGTCCTAACCGGGCGGATGAACCAAGATTAAATTGTACTTAATACGCAATTTGTCGTGAAAATAGTTTCTGAAGCTGTAAAAGCTCGAAGCCGTTGAAAATTGCACCCGTTACTGTTTGCGGTACACGTAATCGGACACGACGATGTTCCACGGTTTACGTTAGGCTCGTTATGCTTAACAAGTAATGATTTTTCGCGAAAAACCTGAAATTCCAACTAAACTCTTTCTCGGATTCAAACAAAAGGGAAGTTACCGTAGTAAAACCGGAGAGGAAATAAAACAAAGCGAAACATATAGGCAGCCGCAATTTCTCACTTGTCACGTTTGCAAAACGATATGAATAGCTTATTCGTCATGGTAGAGGAATAAATAGGCTCAACAAGTGGGGTCCAAGATCGTGCGACCCCGGGGTCGTCTGTTTGTCGGCGAGATTAGAATCAGCGTCGCCCGGTCAACAAACGACCACACACGAACACCGCAGACTCTTAAAGACATGGCACGCCGCAATGATACAGGAGAAAACAGAGCATAACATTTAGATGTACAGATACAAATACTTCATTAGTTACGCATTCAGTTCATTAGAGCATAATATACAGATACAATTACTTCATTAGTTACCTCAGATACGATGAACGGGTATCTTATAGGCGAAATATTGACCATATTTTCCGAAACGGGGAAGTGTTTACTGGAAAGCGTGATAGCAGACGAATAGCAATAGAAGCCAATACCATTTCGAGGTTGACATCATATAACGACAACTCAAAATTAGATTTTGTCTAGATACAGATTTTTTTTAAAAGGAAATAGTCAAAAATAAGTAGTAGACATTTTAAGTCACTTCAAAATAAATGGAATACTTAGATGAGACTTAGAATGTGTACAGAAACGTAGTCGGATTTTATTTCTATTATTATTAACCTGATAAGATTACCGTCTCTAATATTCGTTTGCAATGGGAAGCTGTCACAATTTGAATTTTAATAAGTTCGGTGAATATACATATGGAAATAGACTTTTCTTCTCGCCAGCATATAAAAAAAAATACAAACGCAAAACTAATAGACACACACACATATGCAACGATCGGACACGAGCTACGTGCGGTCAGAGAAACCGATGGAATCCATTTGCACGCTTTCCGCGACTTTGTTTCTAGCCATTGTGCAGAAATGGGGCGAGTGTCGGACGCCATCGCCAACTGTTCTAGGATATACAGTTCCAGTGCGGTTCGGACAGTGACGAGGTGGAACATTCCGTTGCTAATTGGACTTTAAGCGAAAGCGATGCACCAAAAATACATATGAATAATGAAATTTTTTTTGCATAATATGAATTACTCTCTGAGTGAAAAAGACTGTGGAAATTTCAAATAAGACTATTTAACGATTTTGTTTAACTTGTTGCTAAATTCAATTACCTCAGTCGCTGGGAAGAACCAGCGGACAGCAGAAGATTCTTTAAATTCTCGCAACAGATCATCGTTTTCTCCTAGATGATAAATGTCTATTGAAATAAATAAACAATCTAATCGCAATAAGGTTTGTTGTTGCATACTAACTGTTCACTTTCTACGACAAGCTTGGGTTTTTGTAAATAATAAAATTAACTGCAGGCACACCGATAATGCAAGACCCAAGAAGATAGGATCAAAAGAACCAATCTAAAAGTTGTAGGTCAGTGTTGTAAAATGTAATCTGACCCGTGACCATCAATACTGCAATCCTCATAAATAGCTTTATTTACGATGTGAAAATAAAATATTTTATAGTAATATTTAGACTTGATGGGTAGATGTTGCAGTAGCTAAGGGCTGTGCAGATTGTTAGTAGGAAGAGCCGTATGTGCATTTTTCTATGTACAATTTGAATACATAAAATGGGTGTACCTAATCCTATGTTGTGAAATTAAATGTACCAAATTAAAATGTATTTCGTCCATATGGTAGAAAACCTAAAAAGTCCAATAACATTTACATGCTATTAACGTGCGTGGGTTTAATGTCAAGCCACATTATGTGGCACGGGTCGTCGTTGAAGCAACTGATGGATGTCCATGGCTTATGGAGGTCACAGTCACAATGCTGCTCTGTAGCAACCAACTCGATGATTTCGTCATTTGTTTTCCCGTGATAAAGATTAAAGCGACATTAGAGGTGTCATGGAACATTGTTCGCATTCCATTCTTATGTATAACTACGACCTAATCTATTTTAGCCAATCGATTAGTAAATTATGCTTTGTTATTGAAATAACGAACGCTTTCTTAAAACGCGATTCTAAGAATTGTTACGTCATTTTATGTTTTGTCACCGGAACGACACAAAACTAATAACTATTGTTGCAAAAATTATCCAATAAGGCTTATGGGAAAATATTAACTAGATGGAAATAAACAAAAAAAGAATACGTAGAAATATCACCACTGAAAAATCCGAAGAACAAACAACAACTGATGCAACTCACCGATCGTTTTATTGATCCAGTCGGCCAGGTCCTCCTGCAGCGGGAACAGCTGCCTCGCCTGCGAGTACAGGACCTTCTCGCGGTAGAAGTCCTCGTCCTCGGAGCAGGGGGTCTGCGCCGCCAGCGCGCAGTCCGCCCTCTCGAAGCTGCTGCTCATCTTCCTGTTCACCACCACGTCCGCGTGGCCGACCGCCCTCCCCTCCCTGCCCTCGAAAGTGCCGCGCACGTACTCGAACGCGTTGGTCCTCTCGAACGCGTTGAAGATGCGGTCGAAGTTGCCGCTGAGGGGCCGCTCGAAGCCCTTGGCTTCCGGCGACGTCACCGACCAGGAGGCCCGGCTGATGGCGGTGGGGCCGCAGCGGTAGTACGCCATGGCGGCCGAGCGCCCTGCAACAACGGACGCGACAGTACAGTCAACGAGCCACGGGACGCGACGATAATGCCAGCAGGCACCGGCTTAATGACCGCCCTAATGAGGCGCATTTACTGGACAGGGTTGCCGCTTGCAAAAAATCGATTACCCAATTGCATTTTTTGTCATCTGTCTTGATTTTCGTCGGTGTGGCAATAAACCGTTTAGCTTAGTGGCTAAAAAGTCAGGGCGCATGAAAATTGGGCTCCAGCTACCTCACTCACCAGACGAATCGCGAAAGTATTATACGTCCACTTTACGCCGGTCTTCTGTGAGGTTACTTACCCGGACGAGCCTGCCCATTCGTGCAACAGCCGAGGCTGCTGGGTGCCCTACCACTGTGTAAATACATCTAAAGCCCTCAAGTGTTCCACATGTCCATGGGTGGCGGTAATCACTTAATGGACCGCCTGTTCGCTTGATAACTTTTCACTTAAAAAGTGTCCAGTTATTGATATAGATCACTTACCATATTTTATCTATTAACACTATGCAGAATATAAGTACATAATAGCAACTGTTGTATCAATTTTCGTGATGAAGAAAAAGAATTCTCTATTGAGCTGGTAACGGCTACGATCCCAAGAAAATCGTAATAAATTTATGTAAGTAGTATTACGCTTCGACTATGGCAACCCTAGTTATTCCCATTTGGCCTTCATGGCAACATTCAACGTAAAACTTTTTGAGCCTAATTTGCATGTGAGACAAGGGCCAGCATTGTGTGTGTTCCTCCCAACTGCCATAACGTCTGAAGGCCGATATAAATTATAATAAAAATACAAAAGCGGCATCGATCTTCGAAAATGTTCAAGATGACGAGTCTTAATTAACTTCTTACAAAAGGAGTAACATTTACATACTATTGCAAGACAATTTGTTGGACAATATTTATGTTTTCGCTTTGTTATTAAGCTTGTGAAATACGCCCTGTACTCTACGATGAGAGTTTATCGTTTATATTGAGATATAATAAAAAAGTAAAAGTAAAGTAAAGTAACAGCCAATAAATGTCCCACTTCTGGGCCTCTGCCCAGATATTGATATTAATAGGCTGTTACTGTGTTAGTTTTAAAGTCTGTGGTAGGGCCACGCAACAGTGTTCACTGTTGCACGAATGGGCAGGTCCGTCCGGGTAAGTACCACGACCTCACAGAAGACGGCGTAAAGTAGAAGTGATACATACACTTCTGCGTTTCGTCTGGTGAGTGAGGTAGCTGGGGCCCACTTTATTTAAAGGTGACAACGCATTTGCAACCCTATGGTTGTTGCAAATGTCTTGTGTGGTAATCACTTAACATCAGGTGAACTTTCTCACATAAAAAAGAGGCCTCTTCTGTCCAGAGGATATTAAGGCATACACCAACACGCGGCCCCACTGCGGATTATGTGAATAATTTTCTTCGAAATATTTCTTTTTGGCATTATTTCGAAAATATGTAGATTTCCTCACCGCTGAGCACGTGATAAGTCAGCACTTAAAATTAACAATTTCATTGGTGCGATTTGGGTTCGAACTCAGGTTGACATGGATAAACTGGCGAGTAGACTTAGCTCAGCAGCCTTTCCAGTGAAAAAAATTAAACAGTTGACTGGTATGGATACGGCTCGTCTGGTATCACGGTATATCGGTACAAAGGTGACCCTGTGTATTTTATGGTAGATATCTGTGATATAAAAATGAAATGTTGCTTAATTAGGTTTCGAACCCGCGACCAGCTGGACTAGCTACTGGGGCACGGCAGCCACTAATCAGATTAAAGTTAGGAAAACAAGTAAATAATAAGACTAGCCAACAATCTAAACCGCATTATTGCGACCAAAACACCGTCCGACTCGTCTAGAAGCAACCCGTTACCGGTTAACAAGCAAGATATTACGTGTTGTTCAATGCGTTTCGCTTTTGTTTTTCGGGCACCATTCTGAGTGACCATCAGTGGCTTGCGGAGAAGTATTAGCGCTAATCCATATTGCACAAGGCGACACGGTGCCGATTTCTATGCTCAATATATTCCCGACATGGCTCCGTTAGGAAAGCGGGCTGGACCCTGCGCGCGCAGAGAAAGTTCCGCGGCTTATAACATTAAGCGGCAACGTATCGCGCCTCACGTGCTCTTACGTAAGTTGTTGCGCCGTCCGTCCGCCACTTTTCCGGATAAGTGTGCTCCGGTTAATCAACGCCAGTTACTGTGGGAGTGCCACGCAGCTTCTGCAGTTACGGCAAGTATGGTCGCATCGCAGATCTGTAAATGTTTGTTCTATTGCGTTTCATGTCATGATTTATATAACCGCAGCCTATTTTCCTAATGAACGGTTGTGGATATTCATGGGCGGTAGTCCGATATAGTATTGTTATCTTATCCTTTAAACGAGCAATTCTTGTATATATATATATATATATAATCGGAATCTCGGAAACGGCTATAGCGATTTTCATGAAATTTAGTATGTGCGTAGATTCGGGGGCAAAAAATGGATCTAGCTAGGTTTCATTTTTAAAAAATGCCCTTTTTGTTTTCAGGGAATGATAAATATAAGTCGAATATGACGGTAAATTTCGTCTCAAGAGAAAATGTCATAATAGCTCGGTCGGTAATCGGGCGGTCCCAAAACAGACGGCCGTGAACGCTCACGTCATTTACACATTTATTTTTTTACTTTTTTTCGATTCCAGATCATTGCTTTCTTTATTTTTAATTTTTTGTCGATTTGTTATTTTGTTATGTTTTTCCCTTTTTTTTAAAGTTCTTTCTTTTGTGAAAAACATCAGTTCATATTTTCTTATTATTACGTCGGTAAGATCGAAAAAATTATGCATATTTCATTACTCAATAATTTGTATAATAATTTCTTGTATTTACGCGACATAAAATTAGTTTCATCAATAATTTGTATCTAAATGTAATTTCCAAAATACACGATTTACCAAAAAAAAAAACCGAGCAAAGCTCGGTCCTCCGGATACTAGTATTTATACTCGTAATGTTGTATATTCCGTTCTGCTTCGAAATTAGTGTCCCGCATCTGGCGTGTCTTTTCAACCGAATAATACGGATGTCTTCAAGGTGTATTTACCACTATCCACCTATAAGAGGATAACTTAGTTTCATAGTTCGCGATTTTTTGTCGGCTTATATCAAAACAATGCTTCAATTTTACCTATTATAAAATCAGCATCAGCATTTATGAAAGGCATGCCATCATATCTCCCAGCTAATCTCGAACCCGGCGCGGCACGGGACGAGTTAAAAAGGCGGCAACATCAAAGGACCCGTATAAGGTCCTCCCGTGAGCCGCGTGGCGTGTGGGAGGGTCGACGCCCCCGCGTGGGAGTGACGCTATGTGCACGCGGAATTGTTCGCGAGCGCTCGGTGAAACCTAAGCCGCTGCGGTATCACGGGATTCAATATTCATTGAAATCGTCGGTCCGAGGTGGCATAATAGAATGTATTACTTTACTACTTCACTTTACTTGTGTCACGACGACTTCAAATAGGTGTGTGTAGAACTCATACAATTTAATTTAAGCACTCTTTTCTTACAAGTATATTTATACCGTCTTTATACCTAAAATCATAATTACACAAGTTGTAAAATAGTCCTTGGGTAACTTAGTAGAATCGTTAAAATAAAATTTAAGGAGTGAAATGGCGAAGTAATGCCATCGTTTTCGATATTATACCTACAAGTGTGTACTTCATACTGCTAAAACCAAGTTTCAACTTTCAAGCGGTTCAGTATATCGTCTTCAACGTTGGTAACATCCATGTTTAGCAAGTACAGCTTTCTTTAAAGACGCATCAGCAAATTCTCGCATAAAACAACAAGCCAGTCGTCAATCAGTAAACGGTCGCATGCCCCAGCGAAATGAACAACATTTGAAAAAGAACATAATCCTCTAATAATTCGTCGCGTGCTCCGCTCCCTCGTCTGCAGTGCACGAAGCCATCGAACATAAAAGTTATACGGGACGTACCGGTACTGCTTTGCGGCGAATCCAATATGGAAAAAGTCACGAAACGACTCGTCGCAAGTTCGTTTCTCGTGCGGCATTTCGAGTTCTAACATCTCATCGCGAGAATTTAGGCATTCTGCGAAGTGAATACTCTAATCAGCCTGGGGGTTCATTGTTGCATGGTTGGAGAAACGTAGCAGGACAGTGTGCAGTGCGCTTTTGATTATTAAAGGAAGATCGTCACGCGATAATATGATTTATTTCATAACATTGCCCGCGAATGGTACACCGACACGCGACCATGAATAAAAAGTAGCAGTTGGTTTTCCCTTAAACCGTGCCTCATTTTGTAATCTTTTTCCAGCCTGCCACAGATAAATAAGCGGGGTTACATTTAATAATGCTATGTCGAGGAAACATGTGTGTTATTAGAACATTTCATAACAAATGTTGTACATTAATTACTTGTTTGTGCTTATCAGTTTTATTAGTGTTGGAAAGCCTGGCGTTGCACAATGTTTGGTCTATTACACAAGTGTCCGTAAACGTGTGAGCCCACTAGTAAGGTGACAACTTCCCGCGGCGTCACGTCACTCACTTGTCTCCCCGTGTAGTGGCCACTTGTCAGGCGTCTCCCCACAGGGCTAATATATATCAACAGAGTATAGGAGATATTAGGACACGTTTGTTTATCAGCACGCGAAAAGTTAAATAAAATTGTTGTCACGTTCGAATTAGTAAACTAAGAAAAGATCTATATATATTATTATATTATATGTTCCACAGCTGGACACAGTACTAGGACATAAGCCGCCAGCCACTCTATTGAGGTTTGGTATACTTCAGGTACCTTGGATACAATTCGGTTCCCTTACGATGATCTCTTTCACCACCTAGCACGTGCATCGCACTTAAAATTGCACGTAACAATTATAGGTATACGAGAAACCAGAAGGTACACTAAATTAAAAGCGAACCAACCACTGAACTACCACAGCTCTATTCTAATACAATGTTGCAACTTAAATATCACTAGCTCTACGTTGGGCAGTAGACATTCATTCGCAAAATTTCTCAAAATTTAAAACGATAAAGCTATTGATGTGATCGTAATATTGGACCCTTTTTCTATGAAATTTCCTATCGTAGACCCTATTTTAGAATCCATTTTCTCGTTAAAAATATGTTCTTCCTTTCTCTTTCTATTCATGTATTTCTACATGTAAATATATCTTGATCCAGAGGGGTCGCCAGAGAGCGTTGCTCCCCAAGTGCGAGTCGGTGCTAGACTCTTTAATTGGATAATCGCATTCCCGACGCGTTGGACAGAGCTGCCGTACCTCACTTTAACAATAAACACTCACTTATCGGCACATCGCCATCCGACCACCGCCACCCAGCCAGGCAACTTCGTACCGGCACAATTTAGTAACGAGATAAGTTTTGCTCGCGGAAGAACATCGTGTCTTAAATCCCGGTCGGTATAAAGATAATTTAATGAACATTAAGAAAGTGCGCTTTACTGTCCCTTGCAATATGTATCTAGTTAATTTTTATTTAGCCGTGATAGCTCAGTGTCCGGGCGCTCGCCTTTAATTCAATATACTCGAGCAACCTGAGTTCGATCCCCGGTGCCGGCACCAATGAAGTTTTTATCTTTAAGTGCTGACTTATCACGTGCTCCGCGGTGAAGGAAAACATCGTGAGGAAACCTTCTTTTTTGAAATAATAACAAAAAAAATATATTTCGAAAATATGTGAAGTCCGCCAATCCGCAGTGGGGCCGCGTGGTGGACTATGCCCTGATACCCTCTATATAGAGGAGGCTTTTGCCCTGCAGTGGGACATGTATAGGCTGTTACTTTACTTTACTTTACTAATTTTTATTTAGTCATGGCCAAATGAGGTGCCGGTGTTACGATCTCGGCACCAGTTATTATTTGATTTTTCCAATTTATTATTTATTTATTACTACTTTTGTGATGTGTGATGAGTGAGAGAAATTTAGAATGCATTATATATCCTCATTTTTACTTTGTCAACTTTAGAAACGTGTGTTTTCATTATGGTTTGTTATCAACGTTACCCTCAGTTGTGTTATGTCCCTCCTCTCCCTATTATTTCCCTCTCCTAATAACTGTACTCTCAAATAAATTCCTATAAAACTCAGGTTTACTTTTTTATAGTTATTTAATAAAGGCTATGCTGAATGTTACAATTAGCCTTACTTCAAGGTTACTGCGTCTCAAAATGCTTCTCGATGATGGGATATTGGCTAACGTTTAATTAATTATTGTTGCCCTTGCTTATTATTGTTGAGCAGTACTCCAGTCTCTCCATCTACAAGTACTCACAGTGAAACATAACTTGAGAGGTAAGCAATTGCCCAGGTATGTGACCTACGAGATCCATATAAAGCTCGTTAGCGAGGAAGTCATAGCTGGACTGGGTTACGCCACCCCCGCCCATTAGTCAGGACGAGAGGAGGCATCAATTGCCAACAACTCAGCTAATACGCCTCCAATTGCGATGCTATTGACCCGGGAAGCGGCCGGATGGGTCGGAGGTGACCATTGTCAACTACTTGCTCCAACTGCCTCAATGAATCATGACGTAGAGTGGGACAGGTCAGTTTTTCTGAGCGGACGCCTCAACAAATTGTTTAATAGGACTGATTGAAATTGGCATTAAAGAAACGGATATATCACGAGACCAACAGTCTTATAAAAACACGTTAGCGTAAATTTGTTCTATAGTTAATGGTTCTATAGCTCTTAGCATTTACAATAACCATGGTAGGTAATTCATAGATTTTATTAAAAGATTTCAAAGGTGTTCACCATAGGAAAAAGCGGGCGGCCTAGTTCTTGACATAAGTTTTGGTCGTAAATTTGATTCTAAAAATCTCAAAATACACTTTCAAGAATTACTTCATCTTTCGTTATGGAAGAGACGTGTAACAATTAAGCATGAAACATTTAAAAATACATTTGGAAACGATGTGATGTACTTTTTGTATGTTCATATATTCAAGATTATTCTGTAAATAAAAATATATCTATACGTGACAAAGGATGCTGCAAAATTTTCGAAACGTTAAGAAATTATGACACAACTTAAACGTTATAATTCCTTTTATTTGCTATAATATATACTTGAGTAAATACAAGAAACCAAAGGTTAAGAAAGCATTAATAACATTGCAAAGGTTGTTTCATTCGCATAGCTGAAAACAATCTAAGTAATTACATACGAGATTACGGTTTTTAGGGTTCCGTACCCAAAGGGTAAAACGGAACCCTATTAATAAGACTCCGCTGTATGTCTGTCTGTTTGTCTGTCTGTCTGTTTGTCCATCTGTCGCCAGGCTGTATGTCATGAACCGTGATAGTTAGATAGTTGAAATTTTCACAGATGATATATTCCTGTTGCCGCTATAACAACAAATACTAAAAAACAGAATAAAATAAAATTTTAGTTGGGCTCCCATACAATAGAGATGTTTTTGTTTTTGCAATTTTTATAGATAATCGTACGGAACCCTCCAAGCGCGAGTCCGACACGCACTTGGTCGGTTTTTTTTTTCGCGGTTTGTTAGGTGGAATCGTAAAATCATCATTCGTGAGTAATGAACGAGTTACGCTGCCACCAGATCTCCGTTACATCGAGAGACTTTATGTTCCGGGGGCTATTTCAGCGGCCGTCGACTGTCGGTAACCACAAGCCGCACGCTACCGGTATGGCCCCCTTCAAGACGCTTTCCGCTTTCCTCTCCCCGCGTATTGTCCACGTATTCCGTTGCGTTTGTTTATGTAGTAAACAACTAAACACTACTACAATTTCGCAAGTCTTTATTGGAGTAGTTTGTAGCTCAAAACAAATTTTCGCGCGAGCGGGCTGACTTGACCTGGCGACGAACATAAAGTGCACCGAGACCTACTATTTGGAAGTAACCACACAGGCTCTGTACACCATAATGATAATGTGCGACAGGAATCACTCGACAACACTTCTCATCGGGATTAAGATGCCAGGTGAGGGTAGACGTGAAAAATTTACTTCGCACTAAATCGTCGCTTCTGTACGCTTTAAATAATCTGATTTCAAAGAGATCGCATATGAGAACTTAGAACTAATTGAATATATGGCCGATAAATTATGGCATACGCATCTTACAAATTATTTTAAATTACTCGAGTTTCAAGCTAGATTTTGCATATTAATTATTAGTTTAAATATTATAATACTGTATGTATAGTTGGTTTGACAACGACCGTAGCACCGTTTTAATTTGATAATTCGGTGATTGCGTATTGGCATAGTAGTTTACAGTATGGGTATAGTTATATAGGAGGTAAAGCAATAATTATGCAAGTACGCGAAAATGATAAACGACACACTAGTGAGGGGAATGTAAAAATATAACGCCTTGTGTTCCATGTTTTTTTTATTTTTTACTAGCTGTGCCCGCGACTTCGTCCGCGTGGAATTTAAAATAAATAAATTAAAATTTGTAAAATAAAAGTAGCCTAAGTTACTCCTTATGACATCAGCTATCCGCAACTGAAAGTCCTGTAAAAATCGGCCCAGCCGTTTCAGACGTTAACCAAAACCAAATAGTCATTTTGGTAAATGTACGTGTATTCATCCACATGCATTTAGTAAAAAGCGGTTATTTTAATATTACAAGCAGACACTCCAATTTTATTTATCTGGATAGATTAACGCAATATCGTTAAAATTTCGAACGACTTAACGAATATACTGCTTTGATTTTAGTTTAAGAGCCATAGAGTATACTATGTTAGAGCGACGTTATTCTACAAAGGATCGATAGCATCGCTATTGCCTTATTGCTGTCGCCTTGCGTCAGGCCTGCCTCAACTCGAGCGAACACGAGCACTCGAACTAGAAGAAACAACAGAAGTTCGGTTTCCGTTTCTGGTTACCATCGCGCCGCGCTTCCACGGAAAAAATGCGATCGTAAACGCACGGCGGCAAACTTGTTCGTGCACTCCGTTTGAACTTTAATTTGCTGTGATTAAGAGCTACTATCGTCTGTATGTACGGTTAAACGCTGCCTGCGCCGCTCATAATAGTGCACTGGAGCAGCAGTGGAACAAGGTAAAAGCGGGTACATTACATTGCATAATAAACTATTATACAATATACATACATTTCATCTACACACTAAATATACGCGGAAGAAAAAGCAATAACAATATTTGTTCTTCATCATCATCATTTCAGCCTGTTTGACTCCACTGCTGAATAGGCCTCCCCCATAGACTGCCACGAAACACGATCCCGAGCCACCTGCATCTTTATTTTTTCTTACTGTTTATTATTTTATTTCTTCTGCTTTGGCTTAATTTTTCGCGATGTTTTTTTTTTTTATCTTAACCCAATTTAATTAGGTATATTTTTATCGTTGCAGTTAAAAAACTGAAGCCGGATTTTAATTATGAATAAAAGATAAAATTATAGATTACATATAATTTATATGAATTATCATATAAATTATATCTCACAATTAGCCTACGTATACCGATATATATTTTCGATCGGTTTAATCATTTTCGTAAAGTTACAACTCAATTATACTGTTATATTTAATAAATAATACCGCACATCGGATACTAAGAAGTTAGCCTAGACTGAACTAACCCTTCAGCAAAAGACTCATGTATTTCATGCTTGGATAAATTTTGTAAATAAATTTTGTAACTCGCGACTGCGCCTGTGACTTGCACCACAGGCCATAGCGGGCGCAGCGGAAGCCCCGCCCTGAGTTGAGGTGTTCATTGAAGCGTCGTGTTGTATCCGCGATCAATGGCGCAAGGCGCGCGTACGTTTATATCGTAGAAATATTTTGTTTGCCTGCCATTAGTACTTTGTGAGAGAAGTCGGCCATTTGCCACAAGTCCATGCACTCACAATTATATTGGGACTGCAGGTGTATCATCACCTTTATTTTATAACCTTAAAGATGGGTTCCCCGTTACCCCATCTACAAGGCGAAAAGCAAAAGTGCTAATAATATATTTTTTTACTTTGGTCTGTTGTTAAGCCGTAGTGCAGTTATAGTTAACTAGGTAGTAAATTGATGCACTATCGATAGTAAAAATTGCACTGTGCTGAAATCGCAGTCGTTTATTTACAAAATAATAGTTAAACTTATTTAAAAAATATTTTACACATATAAAATAATTTTACACATAATTTATATAAATTATATTACATATAAAATAAAACGCGGTAAAATGATTTTACTATAAAAATATGATGCATATAATTTTCTTTTACCTTATTAACGCTAACGTGTTTGCTACTTTACTGATTTTTTCGAAGTATTATTTTTGACTACCGACATTAGAACATCATAGCGGAATTCATGGAAACGTAGCCAAGATTCAGTTGCAAGTTTCTTAGCTCAGTAAAATCATATTTATTGTCCTTTGTGGACGCAACAGTGAATTTAAACAAAATGTCCAGCACCCAGTCAAACATTTTCTCTAATGAAACTTACCTATCGCTCGCACTGTAGTTGCAGAATGTAGATAACTAAAAGTAGGTAACTTTTATAAATCTTGATATTTAATTTTAACACATTTTATATCATTTAACCTCTCTCTGTAGATAACTGTATTAAAGCGACATCAGATCTAAAAGATTATTTTGTTTTGGTAGCATAGAAGATTTTCTTTACGAAAAGTATATTAAGAGTTTTGATTATAACCTTAGTTTGCGAGAAAGAAAAGCATTGCTTCGTCAACGGCGGCCAAGGGAAAGCTACACTTACGCTTTCCTGGTCTAAGCATTTCTATTATAGAAAGCTGGCAAGAAGACATAGCTAAGATTAAAATATAACTTATCAATAAGCTAATTATAGCGGACTTGTGGCTAAAATATCGTTAATAACGACACACCGTAATTGCTCCCAACTAATAACTTTCCGTTTATCGGTTTTCTCTCATCGCAAAAAGTAACTGTTTCGCATTTTTTTCTAAAAATATAATATGTTCCTACTATTTCTTTTTCCTTTTAATTGGCATTTCTTTTGTATAGTATGCTATAGAAGCTTTGTACATATTTTTAAAAGGTATGATCATGTAAATTGGTAGAATCAAAAGAAAAAAAAAACTTATTATCTTTTTAAAACTATCTAGAGTACACTAACAAGACCTATATAAGGCAGAAATCAATTGGTTGGCATCACTGTTATTATTATTATTTATCGATTTACGTTATTTATAATAAAATAGTTGCTATTAAAACTTGTAGAAAAGGTACGAAAAGATTAATTGCTTCAAATGCTAAAAATGACAATGTAGATACTAGTAAAAGACGTTAAGATTTTCGTCGGTTATGCAATCAGCCATTTCGCTTAGTGGCTAGAGCGTCAGGCCGCGAATGCCGAAGACGTGGGTTCGATTCCCACAGCGACGACAATCTTTTTGTTTTCACCT